CTTCATTGTCCATTTTTTTTTTGTTTGTTTTAAAGTTGGTTGTCTGGGTGTTTCATTAAAATATAATAATAAGCTAGCATTATGAATTTCTGGGAGCTTTTCTGGTTGCGTTACATATTGCAGATATCTCTTGGAGCCTGTTGGTTTGCTTTGTGGCTTCAATTCTGTGCATTTTGCTCTGCGTAGTTTTCAGTTTTTATGTCGTTCAATTTAGATTTTGTTTAGTCCTTGTTTTATGACTTCCAGGTTTCCTATTTTGCCCAGGAAATCCTCTCTTCCAGCTAAGAGAGAACTATTGTAAGAACTATTTCCCTCTATTTTAGTTTCCCTCCCTCTCCATCCCTCTTTTTTCTTTTTCTCCTTGCTTTCCCCTCCTTTCCTCTCCCCTCCCCTCTCTTCTCTCTTTTCTCTCTTTCTTACACTTTTAGGTTTTAACATTTTGTTTTGGCCATTTTGCTTTTTGTAAATACTCTATGCATTAAAATACTTGAAGATGTTTGCCTCTGATTATGTGTGTCTCCACCAAGAATCTGAAGTTGAGTCATACAAGTCTCAGCTTAATGGTCCTTTGGACCCTCACCTTATAATCTGTGATAGAAATGACATACGCATTTGTCCAGTGTTTTATAGTTTATAAATTACCTCCACAAATATTCTTTCTAAAATTACTTTAAAATAAACAAATACATAAATTTTAAATTCTTTAAATCAAATTATATATTCTTCTACATGATCTCAGGTTTTACTTATAGCACCTAATCCTGGTTCAATGAATTATACTATTGAAATTTTCCTTAATAGATCTTTTCTTTCCTGGCATTTATCTCAGGGCAAAAACCCAAGGAGGCTTGATGTGACGGACATGAGTCATCCTGTCTTCTCTGCTTCTCCTCCTCTTTGTTCCTCAACTCTCCGTGTTCTCTATCACTTTCCGTATTTGCTTTCATAAATCTTTTTCCTCTAGAGAAGGGGTTTTTCTTCTGCAAACTTTTCTGTAGTGAGCCAGATAGCAAATATTTCGGACTTTGCAACTGCTTAACAGAGCACTTGTAGCAGGAAAGCTGCCATAGATGATAACTTAGGAACGTGTGTGGCTTTGTTCACATCAAACAGCTTTTCTGGACAGTGAAATCTGAGTTTCATTTGATTTTCACATGTCACAAATTATTCTGTCATTATGAAGTTTTTTGCAACCATTCATAAAATGTAAAAACCACTCAGCTCTCTGGCTGTATAAAGACAGGTAGCATGCTGGATTTGGCCTATGGGTTGTACTTTGCTGGTCTCTGCTCTAGAGCTACCAGCTAGGGCTTCTTCTCTCCTATCCTTTTTTCTCCCTTTAAAATAGAGCCACAGGTCTCAGGTATACAACTCCAAGCAGTTGCCTTCTCCTTTGAACCAATATTAGTATATACATTAACACATTTAAATCAATTCAGTTCAGCTACTCACCCTCCTCCCCCAAATTCTGGCAGTTATTCGCAGCTTCTGCATAACTTTTGAATTTTATTTTCTCCGGGTGTTAAACTGTTCCCTTATTTAATTTATTGAATTTATATATTTTTTTAGAAAGAGTATCTTTTCCACTATAAGTGATCTTTAAAACATTTGCATTTCTTCATGGTCTTGTACACAACTATGGCAAGATCATCTTGGTTTAAAACATATTTTTCTAGCAACATGAATGCTCTCTTTGCACAAAACATTTTATTTTGGCCACTACAACTTTGCTTTTTGTAAAATACTCTATGCATTAAAATACCTGAAGATGTTTGCCTCTGATTATGTGTGTCTCCACCAAGAATCTGAAGTTGAGTCATACAAGTCTCAGCTTAATGGTCCTTTGGACCCTCACCTTATAATCTGTGACAGAAATGACATATGCATTTGTCCAGTGTTTTATAGTTTACAAATTACCTCCACAAATATTCTTTCTAAAATTACTTTAAAATAAACAAATACGTAAAACAAAGTTACAACATTAGAACCAGAGAAGGTTAAGATAGTGATTGATTCTTCCTTCCTCCCCACTCCTGAACTTTACCTTTTGGGGAGAAGTGAAGGCAAAAACTATCTGTGGTGTTTGTTTAAACTAAACACTATATAACATTTAGATAATTGATTAGCAGTGACAAATGTGTTCTTCTTCATTTGTTGGAAGACAAGGGTAGGGGGGGACTCATTAGCAGTGCCAGAAGAGGGAAGGGAAGCAGCATTTATGGAGCTCATACTTTACATCAGTCTAATAATTCCTACAACCCAGCCAATCAGCCATTATCATCCCTATGTTCAGATGTAGCATCCCAGGGCCTGGAAGGATTAATTATTTCCCCTGAGTAGCCCAGCTGTTTCCGGGTAGAGCCCAGGATTCAAACCTCGGCATCTGAGTCCACATGCACATCTCCTCTTTAGTGACCGAAGAGTAAGGTATGGTCAGTAATGCGTACATGCCCATCACACTGTTCTGGAGGACTATAGACATACTCTGAAACCAGGGAAAACTAAGTCATGGAAGAAGCCCAAGTGCCCATCGACCCATGAATGGATTAATAAATTGTGGTATATGTACACCATGGAATACTATGCAGCCATAAGGAAAGATGAAGACTTTACCTCTTACATGTTTACATGGATGGAGCTGGAACATATTAGCAAAGTATCTTCTTAGCAAAGTATCTCAGGAATGGAAGAAAAAGTATCCAGTGTACTCAGTCTTACTATGAAACCAGTTTATAGCTTTCTTATGAAAGCTATAACCCAATTATAGCCCAAGAAGAAGGGGAAAGGGGAGAGGGAGGATAAGGGAGGGGGGGAGGATGGGTGGAGGGAGAGTAATTGGTGGGACCACACCTATGGTGCATCTTACAAGGGTACATGTGAAATTTACTAGGTGTAGAATATAAATGTCTTAACACAATAACTAAGAAAATGCTGTGATGGCTATGTTGACCAGTTTGAAGAAAGCATTTCAAATTGTATGTAAAACCAGCACATTGTACCCCATGATTGCCTTAATGTACACAGCTATGATTTAATTTAAAAAAAAAAAAAAGAAAAGAAAAAAAATCCTATTAATGGAACATTTATTGCTCCTTTCTGGAGGAATGGAAACGAGCTTCTGTTCCTTTGTTGCGTTTTCCTTAGTAAAACAGACAAATTCTCTCACAAAATGAAAATGACTGCATTTCAACAATACCATTTGTGGTAGGAGTCCTTTACTGTGTTTTCTTGTCTAATTAGCTCTGTTTGTGCCACAAACATCAGTTTGTAATTTAAGTGTCAAGATTCTAACTCTAAGAATTTCAACTCCACAAAAATCCCTTGCTGAAGCAATCTGCTTTTCTTTTCCTCAGCTTCTTCTATCCTTCCTCCCAGAAATAGTTCTTTATCCTTCCCCTTGGCACTCACTCCGAATTTTAAACAGAAAGTGGGTCAGGAGATGATGAACTATCCCCTAAGTATTTACCTGTGTGGAATTTAAAGAGTTGTGTAACTTTTAGGTGTTTGGGGGGTAGTTTGTACATATATGTGCTTTTAAAAGTAACTTTCATAATCTAGTAAGATAAGTCAAATAGGCTCCTTTTCGATCACCAAGTTGATTACCCAAGGGTATCACTGATCATTGAGCAAACTTTTTCCTTACATTTTTTGTTGCAAGTTCTCACGATAGTTGCTACAAGAAAAGGGCAACTAAAATGATGGGGAATAGATATAGTATCATTGAAAAAAACTAAAAATATAGATGCTGTAGTCTAAAAATTAAAAGGCTATCCGGGGTTAAGAATGAAATTTCTGGGCTTGGAGCCTGTGGCTCAAGTAGCTAAGGTGCCAACCACATACACCTAAGGTGG